GCCACGCGGAAGTGTGTGCCCGGTGTGCGGGTCGGACACTGGAATTTGGCGTCTTTCCATAGATGCCTGGGAAGCAGATTTAGCAGGACGGACAAGGCAGAGTAACTTCTTTATCTGCCCCTTAATTACGCGGGGTCTTCAGAAAATTCTGCACTTTCTTATTTCGTAGAAATAGTTTATATATGTATTGCTGCTGGCATTAAAAAGTTGGCATGACACTGGGAAAAAAGCATCACGAAGGAAGGTGACTATGTAGAAAAGTGATGCAATTTGTTTGTGAAATTCTTAGTATAGTCTCAGAAAGTGTGGAATTTTTTGAAGTGCCGTCGTCGTACGTTGGCAAGGCTGAAGGGTCCGGGCGTAAATCGAGGCATGTTTAGGCAGAATGACGGGGATTGTAGGCCTGCTCCTCTGACTGAACGTGCTCCTGCGTTTGCCCTCACACTACTTTCCTTCTTTCTGAAAGGAGCCACTCTGGTGATGATGGAGTGGCAAAACACACCCTTGGAGAGCCTGCTGGCGGGGCAGAAAGAAGAGGAAAGGGAGGACTTGAAGCAGTGGCTGGTGGATCTCGACTCCCGCACCTGGAACAGACAGCGGGCCAATTCCAGGGCTCTCGTGCTGCATGTCGTGGGATGAGATGGGGGGCATGAAGCAGGCGACGGAATGGGTGCAGCCCCCTAGTACTTCGCCCACTGAGGGAAAAGGGGGCTGTGGCAGACGGGTTGGGGGTGAAAAGGAGCTGCTGTGTGTGTGACCCTGGGAGAGATTCAGATAGAGCGGGCCCTGCCCTGATGGCCATAAACGAGGGAACCGCCTCACCCTCTGGCAGCCTTGAGCATTTATTTATTTGGAATACTTGTATGCTGCCCCATTCTCATAAGCCTCGGGGCGGCTTCCAACACGTAAATAAATATAAATCTATGCAAATGCATCAAATATTGGAGACTTCCTGGCATAAGAATTTTAAATCAATAAATAAAATCAATTAAAATAAATTTTAAAAAAAAGGTCTTAAATAAAATAAAAACAAATAATAACGGCACCAGGTGGACCTCTCTGGGGAGCGCATTCCATAGATTGGGCGCCACCACGGAGAAGGCCCTCCTCCGGGTACTCACCCTCCCAATATCTTTCACGGAGGGCTCCCGGAGAAGGGCCTCTGCCGCCAATCTCAAGGGGCGGGTGGGCACATACGGACGCAGGCACACCTTTAGGTAACCAGGTCCCAAACCGTTAAGGGCTTTGTAGGTGATAACCAGCACCTTGAATTGGGCCCGGAGTTCAGTGGGGAGCCAGTGAAGCTGATGGAGGACTGGAGTATTTGAGCACAACGCCCAGTCCCCGTCAGCAACCTGGTAGCTCTGTTTTGCACCATCTGAAGTATCCGGACCGCCTTCGAGGGCAGCCCCACGTACAGCGCTTTACAGAAGTCTAGTTGGGAAGTGACCAATGCGTGAGTCACTGTTGCCAGGCAATTGTTCTCCAGGTAGGGACGCAGCTGATGGATCAGCCGAAGCTGAAGGAAAGCGCTCCTCGCCACCGCTGTTACCTGAGCTTCCACCGACAGGTCTGGGTCGAGGAGCGCTCCCAAGCTGCAGAACCTGTCCCTAAGAGGGAGTGCTACCCATTCAGGACAAGGTCAAGGTCCCCCACCCCGAAGCCCGAACCGCCTACCAACAGGACCTCCATCTTGTCTGGACTGAGCTTCAGTTTATTGGCCCTCATCCAGCCTATTACCTCAGCCAGGCACCGGTTCAGCACAGCCACTGCCTCACCCGGATTGGTGGAAAACGAGAGGTAGAGCTGGGTATCATCAGCATACTGATGATTCCGCAGCCCACGCCTCCTGATAACCTCTCCCAGCGGTTTCATGTAGACGTTAAACAGCAAAGGGGACAAAATGGACCCCTGTGGAACTCCCTGGCATAGCTGCCATGGCGCAGAGCCATAGTCCCCCAGCACCACCTTCTGGAATCGGCCATTGAGATAGGAGCGGACCCACTGCCAAGCAGTGCCCCCTATTCCCAGTCCCGCTAGCCCCTCCAGGAGGATACCATGGTCGATTTCACTTGAGCAGAAGTATGTCCGCAGCTTTTTGCATAACAGACTCATCCCATAATCACAGAACAGTCGAGTTGGAAGGGGCCAGAAGGCCCTCGGGGCCAAACGGCCAAGCCTGTTTGAAGTTTGGTGTTAAAACTGAATCTGGGCCAGTCTGCGCCCCGTCCTGTGCCCCCTGCCCTTGCCCATCGCGGCTCGTTGAGAACTGTGAGCAGGGAACAGCCCCCCCCCCCCCACGAGGCCGGGAGTGCGAGACGGACCCTGGGAGAGAGAGCAGGGTTCCAGTCTTAGGGGCTTCTTTCCTCTCCTCGAGGGGGAGATGCCCAGGAAAGAGCACAGAGTTTCCCCCTGAAAAGTTCAGAAGAGCAGGGGGGGGGCGGCGTTGGGGGGGGGACAAAACGGGAGAAAGTCTGTCTGGTGTATCCCTTTCCCCCCTGGAGCGTCACATCTCCGCCCACTCTCGGGAAGGTTTCCACTGAGGATTTCCCCTTTCTCTGCCAGGCTGGCGGCTCCCAGGATTCCCCATATCTCCCCTCTTCTGTGAGGAGGTGCCATTTTGGCCAGATAATAGTTAACCCTTAAGGGAAAGGGGGTCGCCCTGAGAAGACAGAAGGGACATCCAAGGGCTTCTGATCCTTCCGGAGGAGCAGCCGGCCCACCACTCGCTCAGGTGGTTTTGGCCCTGGACCCCATCCTCTGGAGGGGAGGGTTCCTCGCAGAGGAAGGGGAGGATTTCAGGGATTACGTAAGCCACCTTGAATCGCATGCCAAAACGATTCTTCCCTGCAGTTTAATTAGTATAAATGAATAAAACAGTGTAAAATACAGTTGCAGTGATGTGATCTGAACATTAAAAACAACAAAACCGCATTGGGTGCGCAGGGGAAGAACTGGACACGGGGAAA